ATGCCCTGGGCGTGACCCACGCCGAAGCCTTCCTGAAAAAGGATGAGAAGAGCCAGGCTCGAAGCGCATCGGAAAAAGCACCCAAACCCAGCTCTGGAAAGGATGTGTCAGGAGCCCAGGTCAGGATTCCCCACTGAATCTGGCAACTGAATCTGGGACCAGCTGCAAGAGTCGCTGTTTAATCACTTTTATTCCTCCCCTTTTCTGTCCTCTCCTGCGGCGTGCTGCAGGGGGCGATGCTGAGCGGCCGCGTTAAAGAGGAGGAGGGGGAGGACAGGAACCTCCCCAAAACGTTCCTCGGACGTTTCCCTTCCCTGATCAAAGCGCAGATCCACCCCAAGGTCGCGGACAACGCCGCGCCCAGGAGCATGATGGGATGCCTGCTCACATCGCTCAAAGACGGCGGTAGGTAGCGGCAGGGAGATGGCACTTTACAGTGGTAACACCGAACCTAGACGAACAGAGGGGGCCCCCAACTCCCCAAAAACGGCCCCCAGACCTCAGATCTCCTGTGTTTATCACAGAGGGCCAGATAGCCGCGATTGGTGAGGGAGTGTAATTGTATGCGCCGCCGCTCAGTGCGTAAAAGGAACGGCTGGAGCTATTGAACCTTGGAAAGGCAGGCGCCGTCTCTGATCTGTGTGGGTGGTCTGGCCCTCACAGGGACCGGCTCTCCGCACAGATGTGGTCTGCAGGAAAAGAGAAAACTTGAAAGGGTTTTTTTTTAACACAAGTAGTTGTAGTAGTAGCCTTAGTAGTAGTAGTCATTGCAGTAATGTAGTTGTAGTAGTAGAGAATGTCACCATTTAAATTCCTCATGATCTGAGGTGCACCTTATGGGGTAACTTTATAACCTGGGAATAGTAACAAAAGATTTCATTACATTATTGTCATTTAGCAGACACTATTATCTTACCAACTCACATAGGTTACAATTTTATCCATTTATACAGCTGGATATTTACTGGGAGGCAATTGTGGGTTAAGTACCTTGCCCAAGGGTACAACAGCAGCACCCCAGCAGAGTACAGAACCAGCAACCTTTCAGTTACAAGCCCTGCTCCTTACCACTGCACCAGATATGAATTAGAAATTAAGAGATTTAAAGAAGATTAGAAATTAGACTATTAAATTAGACTCTAAACAGAGAGAATACTTAGAAACATGATGCATTGTGGTTTTGTTAGGCAAAGCAATTTCCTCTCCTTCTCTTAACATAATAACAGTGTTTTCCATTTGTTTATCCCTAGTTTGGGGTTTTTTCAGGCTTGGTTGGGTGAGTTTCACATTCGAGCAGTTGACCGGGTTAATGTCACCTCACTTAAAGTTCCAGCCCGCCTTAACTCTTTGTTTTAAATCACTCACTGTGGGGTATGTTTAAAACAAGCCCTGTTAATGTCACGTCTTTTATATTCCTTTATTGAGCCGGCCCTCTAAAGGAAACTAAATGTAAGTGGTTATTTGCGTTGCAATGAACCTTGAACCCCGTCAGTAACAGAAACATGTCACATCAATTCCCTGAGATTCTTAGTTGCTTGTGTAACGCAACTCCTTTGTCCTCTGTCCAGAGACCATTAAACAAGAGACTGTTAGTTCTGTGTTCCATCAGGCCTCCGCACCTCTCTGAGTAGGAGGTCCCTGTTGAAAACAGGATGTTCCAGCAGTTCTGCGTGCACTGGTGTGCCAGCTCTATCTCAGGCCACACACCTTGTGAATAGTCATGATGATACAGCAAATCAGAAGACATTTAGCTCCTGCGAAGGACAGAATTTTTAGTGATGAGGACAATCAGCTGAATATCTGCTCAGTATATAGATTATCTGTGATCTGTGTCTCCTTCTCCTCTCCATGCAGGCTCATATCTGCTCAGTATATAGAGTATCTGTGCTCTGTCTCCCTCTGCTCTCCATGTAGGCTCACATGGTGCCTTCTGTGCGGTGAAGCAGGCGGACACAAGGCTGCTGGACCTCTACAGTAAACTTGGTGGCTTTGAAGAGGTGAAACTGGAGGGAGTCCAAAAGGATGTGGTTATTTTGGGCAAAGGCCTGTGATGGCCTTTGTGAAGAGAAGAGATTAATGTTAAGTTTCACTGCAATAAATAAATAAATAAATGGAAAGTGCTCAAATTACTACAGGCTGATTGGGGTTAGGGAGGAGCCTGGGAAGGAAGCACAAAATGGCTGCTTTCTTTTTCTTCTCCGCGGGCCACATTTCTAGGAAGAGACTACATGTGTGCACTGTGCTGCCCTGCTGTTTTTTGGGTTATGTGAATGCCAATCACCTTATTGCCCATGCCCAGGCCAACTTATATGCCAATCGCAATAAATACATCTAACAATAAAATGCTACTGAATACAGTAAGGATGTTTTTTTAATGCATTAAACAGAGTTAAGTCAATATGCAGGGAATTTAATAGTTAAGATGAGGAAAAAATAATATCTAAGAGGGTCAGAAAATTCTAAGTTATTCCAGCAATAAAAAATAGAATTATTTGAAAGATATGTGATCAAAATAAAATTAGGTGAAGACAAATTGATTGGTGGAAATGCAAAGTTATTGTCTAAAGAGGTGTGTTTTTATGAGATGACAAGCGATAGGACACTGCTCAGTCCTGATGCTGAGACTCCACAGTTCATATAGAGACGAGATTCTAATATTCTTGCTGTAGGGGGTTATCCTGGAGGTTTCACCAGAGTTTTATAACCATGAAGTGTCACATTTGTTTTGATTTTCTTCCATAGACTGTGCACAGTTGATTTTTGGACTCAGCTGTTGAGTGAAACATGACAGGTTTTTATCCTGCTTGGTTTGACAGTCTTTTTCCTCATGCCAGACCCTACTCTTTGTTCATGTTTGCTTCACTACACCAGTGTCCTTGTCTGATCTTTCCTGTCTTACTGTGATGGAAAGGTAGACAAACCTGAATTGCTCATCAATAGCATGTCATAGCACTGATCCAAAGAATGTGGTGATTGATTATCTGAAATTAGTGTATGTTGTTTGCTTTTGATCAAGTGTGTCTTTTTGATCACGTCTATGCAATAAAGTGTCTCTCCTCAGATGAATGAAGGCAGCTTGACAGGGGACAATTACAAGGTGCTTTCCATCTGAAGGGCACAGCTACCTCTAACGAGGTGTATTTTAAAATTGTAATATCGATGCATTCCCTTGAATTGGTACGTTATATTGTAATTATTGCAGTATGAATATGTATAATTTATGTCGGATCTACAGTAAAGATGTTTAAATAAAAATGAGAAAATAGTGAAGCTTCTCCTTGTACTCTTTTTAACACTTCATTGGGTGGATATTGTTTGCTCACACTGCATGCACTAGTCGAAATCGTTTCTTTGAGTGAAATAAACATCTGCACTTGGGTAATTACATTTTACAGGATCAGAAGCGGTACTCGTGACACTTTTGGAGCCATTAGATTGCCAAAATTTTAGCAGTAGAGTATCTGTTTGAGAGAAGTTATGACATTTGCACAATCCACATCTTAAAACTGTTACTGCATGACATCATTGCCATCAAAGAAGCCTAATCAATTTCGTCCAGTTGATCGGGGTGATTCTTCCCAATTTTTCCACCTCCACATCTTTTAGGCAGAGCTGAATAATGACACTCGTTTTATTCTCCCACAGCCAACAAAATATTAGATTAAGGACACGTTTAACAACATATGCGTTAGGACACTAACTACTGTAGGTAAAATAAGTAAGTATTCTTCACATCTGGATAACTCCAATTGCTATAAATACTGATTGTAAATGATAGGGACCAGGCGAAAATTCAGTACGTTAACAGAACGCAGCGTGAACTCGCGAGTTAAAATACAACCTTGCGACCTCACAGCACCGGGGTCAGTAAGTCAGACGAGCGTTTGCCTTAATGAAATCGCCGTTTAGATCCGTGACTGACAAAAATACGTTCAAGATATTACAGAGCTGTAAGAAAAGTAATTTGGGGACGCACCCCAGTGACTGACGAAATATTTTCTGCGACGCGGTTTAATTCATTATCGCCAGGGCAGGGAAAAACAGCTTGACGGAGTACCCAGCTAGCTACAATTCACTTTTCTGCATTCAAAATTAACTTTTGAAATGTCATTCTTGGAGGACGAATCATCAGAGAACGGGAGGACGGGTCGCACAAAAATGGAAAGCTTTTTCTTCAGTATGTTTTCGTATCGTAAATCAGTGTTTTGTAAGTTGATTCTAGTTAGCAAGCTGGCTAGCTACAGCACACGTGGGATACTCTCCAGCTAACTACTCAAGCTAGGTCAAGTTATGTTGCTCTTAAATTTTTACCGTCAGTTGATATAGCTGTTTGAGTCACCTAATGACTGTCACTGAAATCTCACATTATTCAATTGACGTAATGTTAATGCATCAGAAGCTGAACATTTTTAAAAATGTTGTGATTGATTTCTCTGGTAGGCTGTGAGCTGTCTTCCCAAGTCCCGTTCTACACGTTTCAGGGAGACGAAGAGGAGAGCCTCGAACAGTATCTTGATCTCCGGACTGTGAGTAATTTGTTTGCCATTGGTTCAGTAGTTTTTTCGTGGAAAGCTTAGCGATGATCCTGAACTTGTCAAGAGAACAAGTACTGTCGGTAACTTACGAAGCCAGGCGCCAGTAGCTGGTTAAGCATTTACTCGCGGGCAAAAACAGAACTCCTGCATTTTTGGCTACAGAGAAGGTAACAGGAGACAATTTGTTTTTCTAACATGTCCCTTTGTCATAGTGCGGTAACATTGCGTTCAAATGTTCATGGCATTTGGACCAAAATACTTAACCCAAAATTGCCTCAGTAAATATCCAGCTGTGTAAATGGATTCATTGTAAAATTTAAGGCATAGAAATTGCTCAGGCGTTTGCTGTGCAGATTATACATTTACATTTAGTTGCTGACCAGAGGGCGACTTACTTATTATTCATGCTATCTATTTATGCAACTAGAGATATACTGAGGCAGTTTTGGGTTAAGTACATTTCCCAAGCAGTGCCCCAGCAGAGAATCGAACCAGCAACCTCTGGGCTGCAAGCCCAGCTCCTTCCCACTATGCTACACTGCTGCACTGATTTTAATACACCACAAGCACTACAAACGACCATTGCAGAGTCATCTGTATATTACATATAAATGTATAGTTCCATGTACTTTTCATAATTTCTCTTGGCAGGTACTCTTAATCCGGCCTCAGTCAATAAGAGAGTAATTTTGGTGTATTACGCGTTCTTTGTTCCAGGATAACAAAACATAATGTAATGTAATGCAAAGCAACTCTCTCCTGGGATTGAATTCACAACTGGTAGTCATAAGTGTCTTAACTGTGTATTAAGCATAGTTTCCCTTTGCCTAATATTATGTATCATTAAATAAGAGAGAGGTGTGTTTTTCTGACAGTTGTTTCATACACTCCTGTGTAGATCTGTCTGGGCAGCGGCGCAAAGGAAGAGAGCAACGTGGTGGAGGTGACCGCTCTGAATCACCGGGGGAAGAAAGTGTCCGTGCCGGTGGCAAACCTCCACATCTCCTGCCTGCCCATGGTAGTGGCGGAAACGCTTACATTTTGGGGGAATTAAAGTCTTCGCTTAGCACGCCCTCCCAGACCACCGTGTCCCTCCTCCTTATGCCATCTGTACATACCTTTTTCCCCTCCAGGTGAGCATGGGCGAGTTCGAGGTGAAGACCCCCGTGACTTTCCGGCTCAAGTCTGGATCTGGACCAGTCTGCGTGAGCGGGATTCACCTCATTGGTGAGGGGGTGACTGCTCTCCCTGGTGGTGGGGCAGAGCAGTCGTATGGAACGCTTAATTTAATTGTAATGCGGCAAACATTCTGAGAAAGTTTGTTGGTGTTACGGCCAGACTCCTGCCAAAGGTGACTACAGACAGTCACAGGACAATTAGCAGGATGAATATTCTGTACATAACAGTAAATCGACCCGGCTACTCACTCTTAGTGTTTGGACCCGCCGGGCGGACAACGCAGCAGCGAAGTGCTTCGCAGTTTAACTGGCTAGATATTATTTATATAGGTCAGAGGAAAGATAAGTGAGGAGATAGCCGTGCACAGGAATTTCAGAAAGTGTGGGTTTTGAGAGGGAAGAAGGAAATGTGGAGCAGAGAAAAAGTGAGCTTTTGGAGTACGGTGCGCAAAAGAATGAAATAAAACGGTGGGGACCGGCCAGTCTGCAGTAGACCGTCGGACCGGCTCCGCCGTCCTACCCAAAACAACAAAAAAAACTAGAAAATAAACGGGACAAAAATGCACCACCGTCTCCCGGACTTTCTACATACAGTTGCACTTAAACTCTGTACGATAGACAGCTAGATAGGCACAATATACCACGCTGGTACTCACTCTAACTCCCCAATCGACTGTGCTTGCCGCCATAGACATTTAAAATACCTGAGGTGCACACCTTCGTGCACCCGTGACCCTGACGTCACATGACCCTTGACCCCTACTCTTGTGCACCCTTTACCATGACGTGACACACCCGTAACAGTTGGGTACCGGTTTGATGTTGTAGATTTTTTTTACGCTATTGACCTCTGGATCCAACATTAGTTTGTAGCTTCAGAACTGACAAACACATTTTCCTAACACTCTTTGCCCCAGACGGCATACAGTCACGCATGGCATGTGGCTATGGCAACCTTTGACCGGAATCTCATCAAGTATGACTAATGTATGACTAACAGCTGTTTCACTATGCAAGTAATCAGAGATCACATTACTGATGTAACTAGTAAGAGCTACTTGTCAGCAAATGCCTAAAAGGAAAGGCACAGTGCAAATAAACCTTAGGCTCCATCCCAGTAGGCAAACCATATATTGGTTAGGTTGACCTTTGACAAAATGATCTTTGGCTATGAGCCTGTGACCTCAGACCACCTCCACAACAGATTTCTGTGTAGTGTCACAAATGTGACTAAAGGATGTTGTCCTCTCTCAAAGCACGGACTTTTTGTCAGTTTCTTTATTTACACAAAAATGAGACTATGCAACCATTAGTTAAATAGAGAGATTGACCTTTTACTTATCTATTGCAACTTACAGTTTTACATGCAAACAGTTTTTATGCAGTTACAGCTGCATATATACAGAGGCAGCTGTGGGTTAAGCAGCTTGCCCAAGGGTACAACAGCAGTGTCCCAGCAGGGAATCAAACCAGCAACCTATCAGGTATGAGCCCAGCTCCTCAACACTGTGCCGCGCTGTTGCTGCATTTTAATATATATAAAAAAAAAAAAACTACTGCAGACGTAGCCGAATGCAGTTTACCTTCACTGACTGTGTACGTATGAGGTCATCCCCTTGGCTTTAGATGACACACGCATGAAAACAGGATATGAATTATTAATTTGGTGGAGAGTGAAATCCATTTGCGGCGCTGTTGTATGGGTACGGTAAATACAGGAGAATGGCAGCGAGGCTCCTCTCTGATCTCCCTCAGCTTTTGAAGATGACGAGGACGATGATGAATCTGACGTATCGGAGGATATGGAGGAGATTGATGATGACATCATCCCCATCAAACCAGCGAAGAAGCAGCAGAAGCTCTGACTGAAGTACGCTTCAAAGGGTCTTTTTTCTTTGACTGTCTTCTTTTTCTTTGACAGTGGTTATACTGCCCATATTCCCAAAACCACTTTAGCGCCGTTACATTACATTGTCATTTTGCAGACACTCTTGAGAGCGACTTACACTAGTTACAATTTTTACATATTATCCATCTATACAACTGGATATTTACTGAGGCAATTCTGGGTTAAGTATCATGGTCAAGGGTAAAGCTGCAGTGCCCCAGCGGGGAATCGAACCAGCAACCTTTCATTTACGAGCCCTTCTCCTTACCACTACGCTACACTGCCACAGTTAAAATAGAAATCACATGTACAAATATTTAGTTCAATTTACGCATGTTGTTTGTATCAAACATATTTCTTCTCTTGCAGTTGAAGCTACAAGGAGCAGGGAGGCCCTCAGACAGAATGGAGAGGGACCTGTTTGTCTTGGGTTTTTCGACAGCTGTTGTCAGGCACCTTCGATGAAGTTCTTTACGATTATAAAAAAACATTTTTGTACATTTAACAGTTTTTACAATGTGAAGTCAAGTTTTCATCATAGTTAAAAACAGTTTTGGTACTGTTGGGGGAAAACCATTACAAGGGGATCACTCATATGCTGTCTGGCAGCAATACGACGGGATCTCTGTGCCGTTGTTACTGTACAGTTTCACAGTGTGTGTATGTACTTGTATTTTGTGTATTTTGCATGCCTCGTGTTATTTGACTAATGTCACAATGAAAAGGTCTGTCATTTTAAAGTAAGAGTATGTCTTTTGTCACGCTTCTCTGTGTGCCCTCAATTGAAAGGGTACAGACTGAAGGTTTCCAAGATGGCTTTAATTTTGTATATTTATATACAGTACATGAATAAAAATGTTGCCGTTTCCAAACCTTCAGTTCACTCTCATAGAAACAGTGTACAGGTACCCTTTGGAATTTGATTGGGTGACACCACACTCTTGGGTTGCATGTCTGATGTGCGGTAGGGGCACAGAACCCTACACCACCTGCTGCATCATCACTCCAGGTAAGGCCCACACCACGTACCCACAACAGGAGAGGACATGTTTAAGTTGTATTTTTCTCTGATTGGACTCTGTGGTACTGGTTCCATGGTGGCTGAATCAAAGATGCTTGAACAGCATTTAAGGTAACCTGCTCCACACCTCAGCCATTCTACAGCAGGATGTGTTCTGTACAGCAGGTGCGTCCTTTCGGCTCCTAGCACAAGGCCACCGGCAGCTCCTCCATCCTACAGGCAGTTGCCAAGACATCACATGAAGTCAGTGTGTCCATTGTACGCTCCGGTGCTAATCTCACCTTCCGCTTTCATGAGTGGGTCAGGTTGGACACAACTGGACACAATTCCTGAGATATCCTAATAGGAATCCTTGGAGGTTAAAAAAACCCAGAGAGGTCATTTCCTGTCAGCGAGACCCTTTATGCAGTTCGGGCTGAAGTGTTGGTTTCAGCGTTATGCAATTCAGGGCAAATTGGATTACCCCTTCCAGTTTATGATCAGCTGGCAGGAACCAAACATGGCCACTAGGGGGAGTGCATGAGGTCTGGCTTTTTGGATCCATTTTAAAACCTCAGATGCTGCTGTCTCTCCCAATAATTTACTTGTCAGTGGTGGTATGACAACAGCAGCTACTGGCATGCAACAAACAGCAGCTTAACCACCCTGCTTCTACACATAACTAGCAATAAGAGAGCTTACAGGGGCTTGCATCATATTTGTAACAAACAGGCAAAATATGACAATTAATGCTTTCCCACTTAAAACATTTTAGCCATTGTCGACTCTTTCAAACGAAAAACATAAGGCACCTAAACTCGTTATCTAAAAAACTATTGTCTTAACTATTTGCATTTGATATATCTGTCCAATGGACGCTTAACCATTATTTTGAAGACTGCTAAAACCAATGAGCATTTGAATATTAAACTCTTAAGTTGTTGTTTGGTTGTAACCTTTGTAACAGTCATGTAGTTGGTTAAGTGCCCGTTCAATACTGAATTGAAGAAGAGGCTTATGTGTGACAGCCATGTCTTGTGTGCTCCCATTGGACCGTTCCTGCCACGGACACTCGGGATTGGCCCAGGCTACTGATGGGGGCGTGTCCCACAGGGCCTGCCGGGTATAAAAACTGAGCACACGGGGGTTACAGGCCCTTATTGAAGTAGACATAACGGATGCTGTCCCCATGCTGAGAACGGATGGACTCCCTCAGCTCTGGCTCCAGGTTAGACACCGCCATGGAACTGGAAATGAAGCCGGGGGAGAGGGGTGAGGGGAGGAAGGGGGGGCACGAAAAATGTCAACGGGTGTCAGCTGAGGAAGAGGACCTTTCCCCTCTGTAAACGCCCTGCGGTTGGGTGAGGGCAGGTGGCATTAGACTCTTACCATCTCTGGGGGAACAATGAGCAGGCAGCTGGCACCATGAAGACAAGGCTACAAAATAAAGGAGAGATGAGAGAGTGAAAAACACAGG